TATGTTAACACAATTAACAATAAAAATCAAAGAAAAAATAGATAAGTTGGACCTCATCAAAATTAAGAAATTTGTGCATTAAAGAACACTATCAAGAAAGTGAAAGGAAAGGGACTCCTGGGTGGCTCAGTCCGGTTAAGCATCTGCCTTCAGCTCAGGTCATTATCCCAGGGTCCTGGGATCGAGTCCCATATCAGGCTCTCTGCTCAGTGGGGAGCCTGTTTCTCCCTCTGCTTCTGCCTGCCGTTCCCCTGCTTGTGCTCTCTGACAAATAAATAAAAGCTTTAAAAAAAAAAGTGAAAGGACAACCTACAGAATGGCAAAAAAAATACTTGCAAATCATACTTCTGACAAGGGATTAATACTGAAAATATATAAAGAGCTTCTACAGCTTAACAAACAACCAAAACAACACAATTAAAAATGGGCAAAGGAGGTGAATAGACATTTCTCCAGAGAAGATATACAAATGGCCAATAAGCCCATGAAAAGATGCTTAACACTGTTAGTCTTTAGGGAAATGCATGTCAAGTAAGATAACAGTTTACACCTACGAGGGTGGCAATAAAAAAAAAAAAAATCAGGGGCACCTGGGTGGCTCAGTCTGTTAAGCATCTGACTCTTGATTTTTGGCTCAGGTCATGATCTCAGGGTCATGAGACGGACCCCCGCGACAGGCTCCTTGCTGAGCATGGAGCCTGCTTAAGATTCTCTCTCTCTGCCCTTCCCCACCTCCTCCAACCCCTGCTTACACACTTTCTCTCTGGAAAAAAAAAAAAAAAAAAGGAAAATCTAACAAATTTTGGTAGGAATATGAGAAATTGGAACCCCTGTGCATTGCTTGTGGGAATGTAAAACAGCACAACCACTATGGAAAACAGTTTGTCATTTCCTCAAAAGGTTAAACACAGAACTATCATATGACCCAGCAATTCTACTCCTAGGTATATATCCAAAAGAACTGACACCAGGGGTCTGAACAAATATCTATACACCAATGTTCATTACAACAACCCTAGTTGTTGCCCATTAGCAAATGAATGGATTAAAAAATGTGGCATACACCTAAAATGGTAATTATTCAGACATAAAAAGTAATGAAATTTTGATATATGCTACAATATGAGTAGACCTTGAAAACATTATGCTTAATAAAGTAAGCCAGACACAGGACAAATATTGTATGGTCCCACTTATATATGAGGTGCCTGGAATAGATAGGCACATTTACAGAGATACGAAGGAATGATTGCCAGGGATTGCGGGGAGGTGTTTGGGGGCAGGGCAGGGGTGGGGAGGAAGAGATTGCTTAATGGGTACAGGGTTTATGTTGGGGATGATAAAGTTTTAAGTAAAATACCAGTGATGGAGACACAGTATTGTGAATGTTTTTAATGCCACTGAATTGTACACTTACAAATGGTTAAAATGATAAATGTTATTTATATATATTTTACCACAATAAAAAAAAGGTCTAACTTTACCCTAGTGATCTGAAATACCACCTTTGTCATATATTAACTTTCCGTATGAATTTGGGTCTAATTCTGCACTTTTTATTCTTTTCCACTGGTCTATTTGTCCCTGCCAATGCCACAGTGTTTTAATTATAGAGGTTTTATCATATATATATATACTTTTTTTTTCTTTTAATTAAGTAGGTTCCACATACAATGTGGGGCTTGAACTCACAACCCTGAAATCAAAAGTTGCATGCTCTACCGACTGAACCAGCCAGGCACCCCAGAGGCTTTATAATATATTTTAATGACTGGTAGGGCTATCCAACCCTGATAGTTTCTCTTTTTCAGTATTTTCCTGGCTATTTCTAAAATCAGTTTTATTGGGGCACCCGGGTGGCACAGCTGGTTAAGCATCCAACTCTTGGTTTCGGCTCAGGTCATGATCTCAGGGTCCTGAGATCAAACCCCAAGTCAGGCTCCGTGATCAGCGTGGAGTATGCTTCAGATTCTCTCTCCCTCTCCCTCTGTCCCTCCTGCTCACGTTCTCTCTCTAAAATAAATAAATAAATCTTTAAAAATAAATAAAATACAATCAGTTTTATTGAGATATAATTCACATCCCATACAATTTACCCATTTAAAACGTACAATTTGGTGGTTTTTAGTACACTCACAGGATTGTGAATCCAGTTTTAGGACATTTTTCTACAAAAGAAACTCTGTACCCATTAACAACTGTTTCCCACTCTCCCCCCATCCCTTTCCAAGCCCTAAACCATTAATCTATTTATTATCTATAAATTTGCCTATGTGGACATTTTCTATAATTGGAATCATAAAGTATGTGATCTTTTGTGACTGGCTTCTTGCACATAGCACATTTTCAAGAGTCATTCATTTTGTAGCATATATCAATACTTCCTTTCTTTTTAGTGTCAAATAATATTATCATCAGTTGATGGATATCAGGACTGTTTCCACTTTTTAGCTATTAGAATAATGCTGCTAATAACATTCATGTATAAGTTTTTGTGTCCACTTCTGTGTTCAACTGTCTTGAATTTATACCTAGAGTAGAATTGTGGATCATATTATAATTCTATATTTAATCATCTGAGGAACTGGCAGATTGTTTTGAAAGTGTCTGCACCATTTTACACTCCTAATAGCAGCATATGAGAGTTTCAATTTTTCCACTTCTTCACCAATACTTGTTATTTTCTCTTATTATTGCATCTTAGTGGTGTGAAGTAGTATCTCATTATTTTGATCTGCACTTCCCTAATGACTAATAACGTTGAACATCTTTTGGTGTACTTACTGGTCATTTGCATACCTTCTTTGGACAAATTCCATTCAAATCCTCTGCCCAATTTTTAAATTGGGTTATTTCTCTTTTTATCATTGAGGAGTAAGAGTTCTTTATATATTAGGGATACAAGGTCCCTTATCAGATATGTGATTTGCAAATATTTTTCCCATTCTGTGAGTTGTCTTGATATCATCTGCAGCAAAAAAAAAAAAGTTTTAAATTTTGATATAGCCCTATTTATTTATTTACTTATTTATTTATGTCATTTGAGCTTTGGGTGTCATATTTAAGAAAACACTGCCTAACCCAAAGTAACTAAGATTTACTGTTATGCTTTCCTCTAGGAGTTTTATAGTTTTATTAGCTCTTACACTTAGGTTTATGATCTATTTTGAATTAATTTTTTTAAGATTTTTAAAAAATTTATCTTAGAGATATAGAGTGAGAGGGAGTGCATGAGCCAGGGGAGGAGCAGAGGAAGAGGAAGAAGCAGACTCCATGTTGAGCCCAACACAGGGCTTGATCCCACAACCCTGATATCATGACCTGACCCGAAATCAAGACTTGGATGCTTAACCAACTGAGCCACCCAGGCACCCCATATTTTGAATTAATTTTTATGTATGGCATGAGATAGGGTCCCAACTTCATTCTTTTGCATATCCAGCACGGTATCCCAATACCATTTGTTGAAAAGACTATTCTTTCCCATTTAATTTCCTTAGACTTTCACTAAAAGTCAATTGACAACTTTTCCGGCTATTTTTGCATGTTTATTTTTCCATATGAACCTTAAAATCAGCTTGTCTGACTCAATTAAACAAGCTGTTAGGATTTTTATTAAAATTGCATTGATTTTACAAATTAACTTAGGAGGATTAACATCTTTATGTTCAATCATCCTATTCAAGAACAAGGGATGCTTTACCATTTGCTTACATCTGCTTTAGTGTCTTTTAGGAGTGTTTAAAATTTTCCTTGTATAGGTTTTAGGCCATTCTTATTAAATTTATTCCTAAACATTTAACCCTCCATGTTGCTATTGTAAATGGGCTTTTCTCTAACATTATGTTCAGTATAAGCTATTTCTATATATGAAAGCTGATTTTTGTATGTTAATTTTAAATCCCGATACTTCACTCAATTCTTTTACTGTATGAGTTAGTTTTATTATTAATTCTCTGGAGTCCAGCTATACATGATCTGCAAAGAGATATTGTTCTACTTGTTCTTTACCCATTTTTATGCCTCTTACTGATTTCTCTTATCTAATTGCCTTGGCTAATTTACCTCTAACATAATGCTGAATAGTAGTGAAGATAGAGAGGATGCTTGCCTTGTTCCTAATATGAATGGAAATGCCTGTAGCATTTCCCCATTTAAATAAGATACTAGCTTTAATGCTAAGATATATACTTCTTCAAGTTAAAAAAAGTACTCTTCAAATTCCCTGTGCCTAGAATTTACTTTCCCTGGTTTTCGTATGTCTAGCCCCTTCATCCATTCATAACTTATAAAATATCTCCTCCTCAGAGACACATTCCCTGGACCACTCAATCAAAAGTAGCCTTCCAGTTAACCTATAGGACAGTATCTTATTTTAATTTCCTACCCAGCACTTATTACTAGCTGCTATTTTCCCTGTATATCCCATATGTGTATTCCTATGCATATGTCTTCAACCACTATGACAGTACTGAACCTGTCTTGGAAGTAGATTTATTGCTGTATGCCCAAGATACATAGTACCTGGCATATGTTAGGCCCTCAGTAATTGTTTGTAATAAAACTACTACCATTTTGGGTTGACTACTGTTACAACAGGTGATTTCATCATAGGAAAAAATAGGAATAAAGCTAGAAACTCAAACAAAATTGAAGTGGGCAATTTTTTAGATAGTCTAAATCAGTGAATCAAAAAAAATAACTGGTACTTAAAAAAATTATAATATTAAAATCGAGGTTCCCTTTCTTCCAATTAACATTTTCTAATTAAAATTTCTCCTTAAAATTTGTTACAAAATTTATCAGTAAAGGAGTTAACATTTAAATTGGATAAAGATCAACGTAAATGACTTATTGTACCCAGTAAAAACCAAAGATACACTTCAATAGATTTTAGTATTACAATTCATCAGCAAAAATTTAACTCACAAAAAATTAATTTTAATTTTATATAATGGAAACCATAAAAAAACAGAAAGGTGGTAAACTCTCTCAATTACCTGTAAAAGGTGATGATTTCTCTGAGTGTTTTACTTTTAGAAGTTTCCTATTAATAAATACATAACCACAGGGACAAGATTTACATGCAACAGGAACCTGGAGGGGGAAAAGAGGAAAAAAATATATTACTATTTCACTATTTATTAAATTTCTGAAGTGTTTATGTGGTCTCTTCAACTAAGCAATAAGTTACTTGAAGGTAGATTTGCATCAAGATAGTGAATATATCCATCATCCCTAAGTTTCCTCATACACCTTTGTCATTACCCACCTACCTCTCCTTAGCGTCCCCCTCAATATCCCCAAGCAACTACTGATCAGTTTTCTGTCACTACAGATCAGTTTGAATTTTCTAGAGATTTATGTAAATGGAATCGTAAGTACATGCTCTTTGTTTAGCTTCTTTCATTTAGCATAATTATTTTGAGATTTGTCCATGTTTTTGCATATAACAAGTTCTTTCCTTTTATTGCTGAATATTATTCCATGTGAAGATACACCACAGTTCATCTGTACATGTTGACTGTTTTCTAGTTTTAGCTATTACAAATAAAGCTACTATGAACTTTCATGCAGAAGTCTTCGTATATATATATACACACACATTCTTTTCTCTTGAATAGCTAAAAGTGGAAATGGCTGGATCATATGGTAGGTTTAACTTTTTGAGAAAACTGCCAAACTATTTCCCAAAGAAATGTCCCTCCACATCCTCATCAATATTTGGTATGTTCTTTTTAACTTTAGTTATTCTAGTAGGTTCTCACTATGGTAATATGCATATCCCTACTAACTAATGATGTTGAGCATTTTTCTATAAGCTTATGTGTTGTCTGTAAGTCTACTCTGGTGAAGTGTCTATTCAAATTTTTGCCTATTTTTTAATTGAGTTGTTTGTTTTCTTATTATTAACCTTTAAGAGCCCTTTATATATTCTGGATACAAGTCCTCTAGTACATATATGCTTTGCAAAGGTTATTTGTTTGTGTCTTCTTTCCTTTTTCTAAACAGTGATTTTCAAAGAACAGAAGTTTTAATTTTGATTAGGTCCAATTTATCATTTTTTTCTTTTATGGGCCATGCTTTTGGTGTTATAACACCAAACAATTGCCTAAGTTCACAAAGATTTTTTTTGTATTTTCTGGAAGTTTCATAGTTTAAAATTTTTCATGTAGGCCTATAATCTATCTTGAAATATTATTTGTATATGGCACAGGTAAGAATTAAAGTTCATTTTTTTAAAAGAATTACTTATTTGAGAGAAAGAAAGAGAGCAGGGGGAAAGGGCAGAGGAAGAGGGAGAGAGAGAGAGAAACCTAAGCAGACTCTACGCTGAGCACAGAGCCTGACGCTGAGCGCAGAGCCTAATATGGGGCTCAATCTCACGACCCTGAGATCATGACCTGAGCCAAAACCAAGAGTCGGATGCTTAACCAACTGTGCCACCCAGGTGCCCCAAGTTCATTTTTTAAGACAGATATCAAAGTAACTTTTCCAACCACAACATGACAAAGTTAGAAACCAACAACAGAGGGGCGCCTGGGTGGCTCAGTTGGTTAAGCGACTGCCTTCGGCTCAGGTCATGATCCCAGGGTCCTGGGATCGAGTCCCACATCGGGCTCCCTGCTCCCTGGGAAGCCTGCTTCTCCCTCTCCCACTTCTCCCACCCCCCCTGCTCGTATTCCCTCACTCGCTGTCTCTCTCTCTCTCTGTCAAATAAATAAATAAAATTTAAGAAACCAACAACAGAGGGGCGCCTGGGTGGCTCAGTTGGTTAAGCGACTGCCTTCGGCTCAGGTCATGATCCCAGGGTTCTGGGATTGAGCCCCGCATCAGGATCCCTGCTCGCCGGGAAGCCTGCTTCTCCCTCTTCCATTCCCCCTGCTCGTATTCCCTCACTCGCTGTCTCTCTCCTGTCAAATAAATAAATAAAATCTTAAAGAAAAAAGAAATCATAAGGAAAATTAGAAAATACTTAGAGGTGAATGAAAACAAAAATACAACCTACCAAAACTCATAGGACACAGTGAAAGCAATGCTAAGGAGGAAAGTTATAGACCTGTAAAAGCTTACATTAAGAAAGAAGATCTCAAATCAACAATCTAACTTTATAACTTAAAGAACTAGAAAAAGAAGAGTAAACTAAACCCACGCCAACATAAAGAGGGAAATAAAGATTAGAGATATAATAGAGAAAAGAGAACCAATAAAGAAAATCAATGAAACGAAAGTTGGTTTCTTTAAAAAAGCTGAACAAAATTGGGGCGCCTGGGTGGCTCAGTCGGTTAAGTGTCTGCCTTTGGCTCAGGTTGTGATCCTGGGGTCCTGGGATGGAGCCCCACATTGGGCTCCCTGCTCGCCGGGAAGCCTGCCTCTCCCTCTCCCACTCCCCATGCTTGTGTTCCCTCTCTCGCTGTGTCTGTCAAATAAATAAATAAAATTTAAAAAATTAAAAGGGGGCGGGCGCCTGGGTGGCTCAGATGGTTAAGCGTCTGCCTTCGGCTCAGGTCATGATCCCAGGGTCCTGGGATCGAGTCCCGCATCGGGCTCCCT